AGGTTATTGCTAATTTAACTATCTTACGCATCATCCTTACACGTATCAAACTCTTTTTTTTTATTTTTTATATTCTCTTATAATTGATTATTTGTAGAAAAGATCCGTACATTATCACCAATTTGAGCATTGGAACCTAGATCTCATCATCGGCTTCCTTGCAGCTATCGAACTTGGATTAACAACATTCAAGATATTCTTCTTTTTTTTTTCTGAAATAAAAAAGTAGGGTATATATATTAATAAGGTACTAAAATGGAGATACCATTCATGTACAAAAAATATACAAATATGTTAGCATTTCAGTGACATTTACAAAATTTACATTACTAATAATGTCATAACCTAATAATATTGATTTAAAATAGTATATACACCTATTTTTTAATCTATTAGTACTATGTTTAGCATTGTCAAAAGCTCTACCATTCCTCTCATTCCATATGACCTAACAGACAATCAAAGGAATAAAGTTAGCCATTTTATTTTTTTATATATAAACTATCTCATATCCAAAGTTTCCCTCTAATAAACCCAATAGTACCCACTCAATCCCTAAAAGTCCATAAACCATACACCAAAATCTATTAGCAGGACATCACAATAAAAGGTGATTGCATGTTTTCTCAGTTTGTAAACAACAATAGCAACCATTCACCAGTATTCGTCCTCTAATTCTCAACTTGTCAATTGTCAAAATTCTCTCCCAACAAACTTTCCAAGCAAAAAAATGCAATGCAAGGGAGGAGCTTTAGTTTTCTAATTTTTTTTTTGCTAGAAAATAATCTCTAACCTCACTATCTTTACTGCATAGATGTTGTTAGTAGGACTTGGCAAAGAATATGTCAATATTCCCAAGTTTCCATAAAATTTGATCATCACAAATAGACACATTTTGTTTTTCAAGCAATTGCATCAATTCTTCAAATTCACTAACCTCCCAATCATTCAGATGCCGAGTAACATTGATTGACCACACAACTCTTTCATTCGAAGATCAAACAACATCCTCCACACTCAAATTCTTATATTGAGCAATACTGAAAATTCTAGGGAATCTTCTTCTAAGGCAGCCAACCTCATTCCAATCATCATCCCAAAAACTAGTTTTGTTGCCTCTTCTTCTTCTTCTTTCATAGCTAGCATATTTTGTCCTAATATAGTTTTTATTAGCATTATAACAATGAATTTATAGGGATTCATTCCTTTTAATGCCTGGAAGGAAAACAATAACCTAGTTTGGGATGTTCCTACTCAACATAAAATTTCATACAAGATCAATAATTTTGTCATCCAAATACGATAAACATTATCTCCTAATTGAATTATATGAGTTTATAAATGAATTTATTTCAAACAATTCAATTGTCTTCTTGAAAATTGGGCAAATAGAGCATAAGATTATTACTTTCTTTTTTAAGACTGTCGTCTCAAGATTTTAGGTAAAACTGTCAAAAAATTTTAGGATAATTAACTTAACTTTCCAAACTAATAGTTTTTTTATTTCCATACTTACCCTAAAAAATTATCTAGATATTAAGATTGGACTAATATTTCATGAATTCTCTATGTTTAAACTTTTTAAATAAAAACTCTCTTTTTCACTTTGCAACTCTTGGATCAAAGTTATGCCATTAATTTCTCTTGAGGAGTTAGCATTCACCGACTCATAATGGGGTTCATTATTCTAGTAATAATCATGGTCAATCACTTTTTTTTATTGAACAATGAGTTAAGCCAATTACCAAATGGCCTAAGTTGAGAAAGCCAACTATCAGTTGTCAATCAATTCCTTCAAGAATCTACGAAAATTAAGGACAATATTACCTTTCCACACTATTTTTCATTATTCTTTCAATTTGTATTAGTTTAGAAGCTAATCACATATATTTAATCATATTTTAGCTA